ACTGCATGTGCATTTCTCCCTCTTAAGCCTTAAATAACAATAAAAAATCAATAATATTTATGAATGCACTATTTAATACTCAACGGGATCTAACCCTATTATATAGGAGAGTCAATGAACAACGCCCGGTAAATTAACAAGTAAAAGGCTACGGGAGATTAGGAGAGTCGCTGAAGTTTCAGACTCTCCATCATTAGGGGTAGAATTTACACGGGGAAAACATCCAGAAGACTTGAAGAAATAAGAAAGATTTGAAAGGAAAAAAAATTAATGTAGTTATAGTATACTTTAAATTAATATTAATATTGATATTAATTATTGTTTTTCTTTGTTTCTTTTCGGGGTAGGTGGGCGGGCGGCTTGATTTGTGGGTAGGAGAGAGAAAAGAGGGCGGGAGAACCCATCACCGACACACTAACAACCTGTTCCAAGGTTGATGCGTATTGACGCCCACCCCTCCTTAGCACACACCCCAGAGCTATGTACGGTCCTTACTTCCTATTTTTTATTTTTTTGAATTCTATATAATATTATTATTTTTTGATAGAATGACAATAAAATATCTAAACTTAAAATTTATAATGGTGTAATTCTAATTAATTTTTTTAAATAAATTATAAATATTAATTCAAACCATTTAAAATAAAAAGTTCAATTATAAATTAAAAATTATATTTAAAATTTAAATATCATTTATAATTAAAATTATGAAATTTATAATTATTTCATTTATTAAGGGCTTGTTTGGTTAGAGAGGATGAGGCTTTTACTTTAACAAATGAGGAAAGGGCTTCTCTCACCTTATCCCATCCAAACAAAGAAGAGACAGGGACTCCTCTCTTTGTTTAGTAAAGTTAAAATTTTTCATCCTCCCCCCTTTAACACCTCCCAAATTGAGGAGTTACTCCCTCCCCTCCTCTAACAAAGTATAGCATAAAACTATTGTCTGCGACCCACCTCCATGCTCTCATTTCCTTTCATTTCAATTGCATGCTCTACCCATCTCTGAATCCAAATTTGAAAAAAAAAAAAAACATGTGGCGGTGGTGGAGGAGACGTTGGGGGCCCACAGTAATTAAACACCAACAAAAAAAGATAGAGAGTTGACACATTGATAGACCGAAACAACATAAATTTCATAGACCCAGCACTCCTTTAGTTTTAACTATAAGATAAAATTAATAAATTTCACATTTTTAAAATTTAATAATTAAATAAAATGCAATATAAGAATTACAACTTGATATAATTAAAGAGTGACAATATTGAAGAATAATTAACTATTGCGTCTTAATCTTGTTTTTAAAATTAAATAAAATTTTATATCCCATAATTAAAAATAGAAAGAAGCATGTAATATAACAAAATTCGGAGAAGAGCATTGAATGGGTGAGACATGAGAGAAGTACTCTTTCTAATTCCATTTACAGGGGAGAATGAGAAGACTTTTTTATTCTTTTTTCAAAATCATCTCATTAAATTTTTTTTTATTTGCCCTCCATTAAATATTAAAAAGATCAAATATATTGTTGGTGTGTGTGTGTTTAATAAGAGTAAAGTTAAAAATTCATTAAATTTTTACATAAAATTAATGAGTTTTAAGAATTTTTTTAATTTTTATAAAATATGTTGAAAGTGACTTATAAATAAGATTAAAGAGTATTGTGCAACCTTTTTGAGAAAAATACCTAAGATAAAGAGTTATTGGTAATTAATACTCTTTCAGTCCTCTTTATAGGTCATTTTTACTAATCTGATCAATATCAATGTAAAAAAAAAAGTAAAAAGAATAAAAGTGTGTAAAATTTTAAATATATTTTTATATAATAAATATAAAAAGTGATGTTATGTTATTTTTGTTTCCTATAAAAGGTAATTTAAAAAATATTTTTTAAATATTATTTAAAAAGTGACAACATAATTTATAAACAAAATAAAATAAATTTTTTTAAATGTGACTTGTAAAAAAAGTTGGAGGAAGTAATTGAAATTAAACAAAAAAGTCTTGCATGGGCTGCAGAATTAACCGAGGAAGATCTGCGCTTTTGTGCGGATGCGTGACGCTGCTTATTTTTTTGGTCGATATCTAATGGTATGTTTGGAAGTACACGATGAAATGACAAAAAAAAAAAAAAAGGATGATCATTAATAGAATGAAATGTGGTGGCATGAGATGGAGTGAAACATTTCATTATTTGAGAATTTTAATAAAAAAATAAATAATTCTATTTAATTATTATTTAAAAATAGTTATAAAATTAATAGATTTGAATAAAATATAATTATATTTTTTAATTTGTTAAGGGGGAGTGAAAGAGTGAGGGGGAGTGAGAAAGATAAGGGTAATTTTATTAAAATATCATTTATATCATATCATTATATCCTTAACCTCCAAATTAGTAGTTAAGAAAAATGAATTTAAAATGATAAGAGATAATTTAAAAAGTCATCCTAAACCATTCTATCATCTTTAAATTTTTTTCTTCCAAGCAATGACATAAAGTTTCGAGCCATTTTATTCTATCTTGAAAAAACTCCCAAACATTACCTGAAATCCTTGAGGCTTGCTTCTTGCTCACTCAATCACTCAGCAACTTCATCTCATGATGGAAAACATGACTATTTTCAACCTGAACAAACCTGTTTACTATACAGACTTAGATTAAAAGAAGAATGACATGGAGGTATCAGGGAGATTAACTTATTCAAATTTAATCTCAAGTGTTCAACTTTAAAAAATTTTAAATTTGACTTTTAACTTTACAATTTTATTATGATAAATTTATAATTTATTTTTTAAATTTTAACACAGTTAAAAATTTTATTTTTCATGTTAAAATTAAAAATATAAAATATAAATTCATCACAATAAAATTATAAAATTCAAAGCTAAACTGGCAAATTCTTAAAATTTAATTTAGATTTATTGATTCCCTAAAAATTTATCTATCATTCTCCCTAGATTAAACGGTTAATAAATGTATCTTACAAACTGAAACTAACCTGCGAGTATTTTTGTTCCAACTATTTGTGATTCGATATCAATGACTCATTCGTATTCAGATACTCTATTATATTAATTTCAAACAAAGTTTGAAACTTCCGTATCTTCAAGTTGGGATTTCGAATATGATAGTTTTCAAGTTGATTAAAATTAGTTGAGGTGTTCGGCCCAAAAAAAAAAACAGAGAGAGATAAGTTGAAGACTTGAAGTGACTAGTTGAGTTCCCTCTTTAAGGAGGGATGCGCATTTCAATCTGGACGTGACTTGTATTATACATGTATATACAACGGGCTCACTTTCATATGTTTTTATGATTAAATAATGTGCTTCTATAGAAAAATTATAATTAGATCCTCATTGAGAAATAATTATTTTTCAACCCAATTTTATGTATAAATCAAAATTTCATATTCATATCATGGTCCCATTTTTTTATTGAGATGCGTCGGTGCATGAGTGTGACCCTCCAGTTAAGTGCGACGCGGATACGGACGCGGGCCTTCCTTTTGAAATGCGATTGACTACTGACTGCCGGATCCACATTTATTTATTTATGTATTAAAAAAACATATCTTTCCATTTTCATACTTTACTTATATTTTATTATAAATTTCTGTAATTTTTTATATTTTATATTTTTATATTTTTATTTTTCAGTATTTTATGTTTCTAGATAAATAAAATGAATAAAGTATAAGAATTTTGGATGAACATAAAACACCAAAGAATAAAAATATATGAATTTAAAACATTAAAAAACACAAAAATTGTCAAACGTATGCGAATGTAAAGATTAAAATGGATGTTTTTTTTTATTTTAAAATAAGCAGGCAGAGAAAGAGTGTAAATGATTTATAATTAAAAATTTCTATTCCAATCATTTAGCTTTGTAAAATACTTTTAAATAAATTATACTTTTAAAAAATAAAAATATAAGAATTTATAATATTAAAAAAAGTACAGGAAGCAAAACTCAAACAAAGTATAAGAATTTAAAGTTATTTTTTTAATAAATTAGCTAATTATTTTGAAAATGACACAATCTTTTTATGTTTATCTTATTTTTATTTAATAAGATGTTTCAATTAGAAAATTTTATTAACCACACTTCATGATCAAGGATATTTTTAAAAAAATTATCAATTACACTTTTAAGTACCCACAATGCCTTGTACTTTTTAGCTTGATCCTTTTAAAAAACTGTCTCACGAACGGGGGACTGTATATTTTTTGATGATGACATTATTTATAAATTTCAGTAAAAATAGTTTCAAATGAACAGCTTGTCTTATATTTTAAACGTTATGCAATTAAGAGGACATTTTTTAATTAAAATATTTATCTTCCCATATAATTTTTCTTTAACCTTTTAATTACTTCTAGAGTATCATCTACGTGTCGGTTGTCTTAAAAAAAAAATACATTATATTAAAATTTGAGTTAACTTAATTGGTTGAATTAATAAATTATCAAACCAGTACTTTTACTGATTCAATAAAACATCTTATTTATGATCAATATAATAATAGTCTAACCATTTTGTAATGATTTAGTTTTGAACCAATATTTTGAGTTTTGACTCACCAGCCTGTTTGAAAGGGATCAAACGAATATATTTCTGTCGATAGAATGGAAGAAGCCGTTGATGGTGAATGGCTGTGACTAGAGAGCATGGGCTCGTACGGAAGCGTGGGTACGGTCGCATTCCGGAATTGGAAATGCAGTTATTTTAAATTTATATGGATCGTGCTGAATTATTTAAAATGGTAAATTACTCAACGATCAATAGATCAATATAATTTTGAGAATAAAATAAATGCTCTTAATGCCTGGACTCAGAACGCAAAGCAAGAAGGGGTAGATAAATTGTAGCGCCCACTCGAACAGCGGCATCGTTACTGCTATATGATTGAACATTAACGAGGCCGATCCCCGCGATCTTTTTATAATCTTGTTATTGTTAGTTTCTGTTTTCGCTTCCCATAATCCAATCTCACCCTCTCTCTCTCTCTCTCTCTCTCTCTCTCTCTCTCTCTCTCACATTTAATACTCTTGCGCAGCTTTGATTTGATTGAGTCGCTAGCTCGGATACTCATATACCCATTTCGCCCCTTTACCCCCGTACTCCTGGCTTCAGCCTGAATCACCAAAAACCTCCTTCCTTCATGGCTGATTCCGCCAAATACCTCCCCGTTGGTGGGGCAATCCCTACCTCCGACTTCAAGACATTCTTCTCTCTCCTCAAAACCAGAAAAACAGTCGCTCTTGGCTATGCCTTTATGCTTGCTTTTGTAGCTTTTACCGTCTTCCTCGCTTTCTCTCCTTCCCCTAATGCTTCCTCACCCTGGTTCACCAACATCTTCACCACTTCCTCTGTCTCTTCCCCTCCTACTTCCTCCGATTCTCACTTCTCTTCCCTCTTCTCTTTCCTTTTCCCCCACTCTCCCTCTTCCCCTCAAACCAACGCTACTTCTAGATCTATTAATTCCACTTCTCAGCTTCGCGGCACTGCAACGGATGCATCCAAACCAGCCTCTCTCCTCAACCAGACTCTAAGCTCGGGGAATTCGTCCAACTCTCCGCTTCCGACATCAAATCACACAATAATTTCTAGCTCAACTCCTCCAAAGCCGAGTAATCTGACAGCAGATTCGCTGGGGAAGCCACCTCTTATTCAGAGTCACGAGCAGACTTCGGAAAAGTCTGATGCAGGTACATCTCTCGAGGCTAATCGAACTGCAACTGCTGCTCCTCCCTCTAAAATCTCGGTCACTCCTCCTCCTCGAGAAGCCCCTGCTGCCACCCCCAGACAAAATATTAGCTCTGCATTGAAATCTAACTCTCCGGTCAAGACTAGTCCCCAGAAATCGAATAACTATACGGCATCCCTGGCAAAGAAGCCGGGAAATGGGACTAGCACGAGGCAGAAGGATGACTTGATGGAATCTCTGATGAAGTGCGATTTGTTTGATGGAGAATGGGTGAAGGATGATTCCTATCCACTTTATCAACCTGGTTCCTGCGATCTAATAGATGAACAGTTCAAATGCATTCGGAATGGCAGGCCAGATAAAGACTTTGAGAAATACAAGTGGAAGCCCAAGGGCTGCACCCTCCCAAGGTATGTTATTGTTGATAAATTTGAAGCCTTGTCTTTTACTTCGAATGAAACGGTCGCTTGGGTTTTATCTGAATTCTGTTGTTCTATCATTGGTTGAAGTGTTCAGTTACTAAGCTTTCTCAATTTGATTGATGTTTGTGTCTGTAAAAACTCGACAAGATTTGTCCATTACTCCATTTGATCTCGGTGATCCGGTTTGGTAGTTGGTTCTAGTCTCAGTTTGTAAAATTGTTCTTGCATTTTCTTTATTTGGAATCCCAATTTGATGAAGAGAGCAAATATGCGTACTTTTAGGTTGGATGGGCATCGGATGCTAGAATTGTTGAGAGGGAAGCGATTGGTCTTCGTGGGCGATTCTCTCAATAGGAATATGTGGGAATCTCTAATATGCATACTGAGAAACTCCGTAAAAGATAAAAGAAAAGTTTACGAAGCAAATGGCAGAATTCACTTCCGAGGCGAAGCCTTCTATTCTTTCATATTCAAAGTAAGTATTAATTTTCCGTTTATTTGATTTTCGTTTCTCTTTTAGTCTTTCTAGGTTAGTGCACCTGCTTTTCCATATACCATTCCGTGAATGTCTCGCTGATGCTGTTATTTGGGTGTCGGTGTCGGTGGCGGAGCAGGATTACAAATTCTCCGTAGAGCTCTTTGTATCGCCATTCTTAGTTCAGGAATGGGAAGTGACGGACAAGAACGGAACGAAGAAGCAAACTCTTCGTCTCGATTTAGTTACGAGGGCTTCTGATCAATACAAAGATGCAGATATTATCATCTTCAACACTGGCCACTGGTGGACCCATGAAAAAACTTCCAGGGGGTAATTAAATGCATTGCAGTTTCTCTCTTTACTGCATGTTGCTGATGTTTAATGTCATCTCCTTATCAATTCTTTGCTTCTTCCCCATTTCCCTATTCAGTTGAGGCAATATTTTCAGTCCAAAACTCGCTGAAGTAAAATAAATTTCCCCTGAAATTTCCAGGAAAGATTATTACCAAGAAGGTAGTCACGTGTATGATGAATTAAATGTGCTGGAGGCATTTCGAAGAGCTATAACAACTTGGAGCAGATGGGTTGATGCCAACATAAATCCATCCAAGTCTTTGGTCTTCTTCAGAGGCTACTCTGCTTCTCATTTCAGGTAAATTCATATTGAATCACCGGCTAATTTTGGCATGAATTCAGGACATCGAGAATGTCTCTCCTCAGCGATGATTTGACAAAACCTAGGAATTCTGATGTTGGTGCAGTGGTGGACAATGGAATTCAGGAGGGCAATGTGACAATGAAACAGAGCCGATTAAGAACGAAGAGTACTTGAGAGAATATCCACCTAAGATGATGGTGTTGGAAAAGGTTTTGAAGTTTATGAAAACCCACGTGACGTACCTAAATATTACGAGAATGACAGATTTCAGGAAGGACGGCCATCCCTCGATGTATAGGAAGCAAAATCTATCACCAGAAGACAGGAGATCGCCGCATATGTTCCAAGACTGCAGCCATTGGTGCCTTCCAGGTGTTCCTGATACATGGAATGAGATTCTTTATGCTGAACTTCTTTTGAGACAATATCGAAATCAGCATCCGCAGCAGAACCGACCATAGGTGAACTTTTCATTTTCATTTCAATGACTTAAAGATTAAGCCAAGGTGAAGTGATTTTTTAAGAAAAAGAAAAAAGAAAGCTATACGTTATTTTTGCCCCGTCCTTATACATGATGGTAAGAAACGATCTTTACTCTTTTTTTTTTAAGTATATATTAAATTTGGAAAGCTCAAAAGAATATGCTAGTGGAAACAAAATCAAAGAGAATGGTACCTTGAAGATTTGTATTATTAATTTTTCTTTTCATAGAAGTTCCTATTGGTGGAGGGAAGAATTAGGCGGGTAGTTTGTCTGTTGTTGTAAATCCCTTGGGTTCGCTGTTTTTCTCCAAACCTGAAAGGCTAAGTCGTCTTGTAAATCCAATTAATGTTGAAGCAGATTCTTGAGATGATTTTTTGGTGCACCCATGACAATGAACCCCATTTATTTTCTTCCTTTTAAATTTTAAGATGGCCCTAGACGTTTATTTAGGACGGTTAAAAGCCGAAGCCGAAACATCAGTGACGGGTCAACAGTTATACTTACCTGTGTGCATTATGTGCACTTTCCGGGTAGCAGTTATATTTATCAGTGAAAATACACACACGGATTGTATACATCCATCTCCATCCACATCAGAATACATGCGGGACTAGGAGGAAATGCACGATCGCACATATATAGTCCGGCGGACTGAACCAGCTTGCTCTTCAACTCACTTTTGATTTGCTGAACACCATGGCACTTCTCTAACCCCAACTGGATACGTCTAGCTGTTAGCTGCATAAAATTTGTAAAATGTCATTGTTTATGATCATTGGATGGTGTCGTTTATTATACATTTTATCACGTAGGGGTATTTTAGATTCATCCTTAGAGAGAAAAGATGCCCCCTTTAGTCATTGATGGGCAGCTCGACTAGTCTTAACAGTTGGTGTTGTAGATGCTACATACGATCCATGTTAATAATAAACATGCTGTAATAAGCATCATGTTAACGAATGGCGACACCGTTCAAGGTTTCTTCCCTAGCTTAAAATATGGCCAGAAAATGATCCCGCTTTTCTTCCCACATGCCCATCCTTAAGGAAAAGGGGCTTTTCTCAAGCGTACTCGAAAGTTGTTTTCCCCAGTACCTGCAAACAAAAACGTCGAGGTTTTTTTTTTTTTGGTTAAAAAAAGTGACAAATTTGCTGGCCATTATTTTATCTAGGTTTTACTTTCAGCCTATACCATTCCTGATGCAACCGCTCCCCTCCATGCGACTCTCACAAAAAACCCCTTCCTATGTCTATGTAGGTTGATGTCCTCAAGACCTGTTAGTGTTGCTATATATAGAGGCTTAGGTTAGGGGTTTCCTTTCGCCGAATGTTAATGATTTCAACATTGTTCACCTGGATTTGAATTCCTCGCTTGCTCAACCAAGGGGCGAAATATAATTGAAGATCGCGTGGGATTCATTCTCAGCAGTCGAACCTTCTTTTATTCCTCCGTCTCATCAGATCACCTAAACAAATAGGGTAATTGAAGTGTGGGGTTTTTCCGTTTTTGATTGCAAATGAAACTATATTCCACTCAGGAAAAGGCCCTTGTACAAACTAGAAACACAGGTTAATTCCTCTCATCATCAATCACGTCTAAATTTAGAGGGAGTTGTAGATCAGAGGACAAAATGGCCTGTTACATCAACGGCCAGGATTATCCTTTTGTTTTTCACATTTTATACCGTACTTCGAAAAAGAAATCGCTCGCTTGTCCTTGAAACAGCATAATTGGTCAACATGCATCGTGACTTTTATTGGATGCCCTATTTTCACGTAGATTTTATACCATCTATGACGTGAATTATAGATAGTTTGATATAATTAAAGACCGCTGGTATTCAAATAATTATGATGCCACCCATCCGTTACATTTAACTCCCCCACCCTTTAATGTCAACGTAACAGCAGTTTGAAGAAATTCCTGGTTTCCTCCATCAGCTTTTTCGTTTTTCTTCAAAACTTCACCAATTACGGTTTACTATCTCAATCATCATCATCCTTTCCTGTTTCCCTCCCACTAAGCCTTTAAATCATCCCTCTTTCAATGTCTCCATTCCTATCCCCATTCCTTATTTATATCCTCCCATCTAATCGCCAACCAAGATGACGACAGGAGAGCTATTCACGTCAAGACTTGAACACAACATATCAAACCTACCATACCCAATATACACACACACATATATGTATGTATGTATGTATGTATGTATGTTGGCGTTTTTTCTTACCGAAAAAAAAAAAGATCGTTCCATTTATCCATGCATAAATTCCTTGTAACTCCACTGCCATAGAGCCAAAGCAAAAAGTAATATACAACGTGAAACAGGAGAGCACGTCTCTTTTCCTTTCTATATTCCAAACCTGTGATATATAATCAAAAGCCAACTTAAAAGTGGGTCCATTGGAATTGGATCACGAGGCCGTCTGATGGGCCTAGGCTTGACCATTAGCGAAAGGTAGCATTCCGGGCCTTCCGAGAGACAAAGAGATTGGGATTCCAGAAGCACCGCCGGTACAAGTGGCGGTCGCCGTCGCGGTAGATGTGGTTCCGGCGGCCGAAGATTTGGTAACGACCCTTTCACAGGAGGGACACATGGTGAGAGTGGTGGCCGGAAGCTGCATGTAATACGGCTGCGATGTCTTTAAAGCCCTTAATTCTTGCACCTCCTTCTGTAACCTCCGATTCTCCTCCGTCAGCGTCTCGCAACATCTCTTTAAATACTCACAATCTACTTCCGTCTGCTTCAATTTCGTCCTTTTTTTTCCCATATTAATGGACCCGGAAGACAAGGTTAGCACATCGATTTCATCCTTTATTTTGAATACAAGGAGATGGAGAGAGAGTCAGTTTCTATATATTTACCTAGCCCGTCTATTTTGGAACCAAACTTCCACTTGACGGGGGCGAAGGTTTAACTGCTTTGCCAGTGAGAGTTTCTGCTTCTGCAGACCAGGTAACAGAAATTTGCGATTATGGTAAGTCGGTGATGACAAACACGGAGAGAAGGAAAGCAACAGCCAGAAACTCAGACTTACGGGATTGAGAGTGGCATGTTCTTTGAAGCTCTCTTCCAGGAAAGCAGATTGTTCCTTAGACAGACGGAGTTTCTTTCGACTCGATCCATTTTCGTCATCGTCGCTGGGTCTGTCGGCGTTGCTCTCGTGCTCCCTCTTGTATCCGCCGGTGCCATCACCATTTCTGACACGGAAATCCATGTGAAATGATGAGATCCCACTGTTCGGGGATGAGAGTGCGGCAGCGTCGTCGGCTTCATCTACGTCCGACGGCGCACTGTTCACATCCAAACCCCTCGAAGCTACCGCTCTATCCAATGAAATCTCTTCACCGCCTACTGTCATTGCACAAAGTACCGACCATGCATATTACAAGACTCAGACGAAAGGAAACAATAATGACACTGTCAGCGAAACAAGCCGAAGGAGAAAAGGGAGGGAGGGAGAAATTACACGGACGGGAGAGCCAAGGAATTGAAAGGCGTGAAGGTGGAGGAGGAAGCGGGGTCAAGGAAAGAAGATCGAGCTGAACTGGCGGACCTGATGAACTCCTACTGTCCTCATCGCTGTCTCTGTGATTCCATCTTTTGGCCGCGAAACCAGCGACGAGGGGTATGCAAAAGCCAGGTTCTTGGCCGTGCTTGTCGGTGACCTTGTCAAGAAAAGAGAAGGGCTTCGGCGCGTCTCCCAAGCTCAAAGCCAACTCCATAAATGTTTGAAACCAGAAGTGATCGACGAGGAAGGCTTTATGGCATGCAGTAAATAAGAGGGATCGCCGGAGGGAGGAATCAGGCGGGAGGGTTTAGGGTACGCGTAGTAGACGTTCCTTCTTCTGTGTAAAGCGAAGGAACTCACCAAGTTGAATGCTGAGAGGGCGGATTGCAGAAAGGCCTTTGCCCTTCCAGCACGGCCTTTTTATTTCTTCTCTGCGCTGCCTCGTTCTAGGAGTAAAGATTGACCCACAATTCCAAGTTGACAAACGCACGTGACTCCTATATTTATTTCAATGCACTACCCCTTCGCCTCGCTTTTTAAATATGGAATTTCGACGTTTTCAACTTAAAATGAAAAATGTAGCAGTCTCTTCTTCTTCTCCTTTTTTATTTTTCATTCACACCGGGCCGGGGAATCGTAGAAGATTGTGGAGAAGGAAGGGGTCGCTGGCCAGTATAGGACAGCCGGATACTGGATTCTTTTCTTTTCAATTCTCAGTCTAATGAGCGGTTTGCCCTTTTTGTATGTATTTTTAAATATTTTGACGAGGGCGACATGTTGGATATCCATCACAATAAATTTAAATTTGGTTAATGGTCCATACTATTATCATATCAATATGTAAGTTATGGATTGTGATGTTACGTATGTCTCAAGTTAAGTTTATGTGACGCGATTTGGGTCCACGTCTCCGGGAGGATTTATAGCTCTATCTACTCGGTACATACATTTATTCATTATTTAGTACTGTGATCTATCTGGCAAGTGATCAATGATTTTAAGATAGAGATGGCAGCACCAAGTGAATGATTTCAATCCTTTTTTCCAGAAGCCTTATTAATGTGGATACTGCGAATGCGTAGAAGAAGGAAATGTTTAATTGTATAGAGTGCAGATCGATGGAGAAGGGAAATGGTCGGAAGGAATTTGGGTGGTGAACAGAACCGCTCTGCCTGAACATGGATTAATAAATGCGTCAGGCTGTGACAAGAACGACACAAATTTAAGAGGTTCTGCAAACAAAAAGTGCAGAGAGCATCATGATGACAAGAGAAAATGAAATATCAGCAGAGCGAGCGAGAGAGAGAGAGACAGAGAGCCGTTGTCTTATTGACCAGCTCGCAACATGCTGGTTTTAAACCCATAAACACTCCATCGCTGTCATCATGATGACCCTCTCAATGTCGGTCTCATCGTGCATCACAATGCGATAAAAGTCTTTAAAGACGATGAACTGTGAGTGTCTCGGTTGCCAAATACGTAGATTAATCAATCATGTGAGCTCCCAGACACTAATTTTCTCTGGGCCGACTTGTTTACCGCTACCCTTCGTAGAGAACCAAAAGCTTTTGGGCATGTTTGACAATTTGTTTTAAAAATAATTTTCTATTTTTTAAAATAAAAAAATAAAAAAATTTGTTTAATAACGTATATTTTTAAAAATAAAAAAATATTATTTTAAAAAATAGAAAAATAAAAATAATTTTTAAGTATTTAGAGATTATTATTTTAAAGAATAAAAAACAAAAAATATCTATTTTTATTATTGTTTTATTTTCATGTTTTATAAAACATTATTTTTAAAAATAATAAAATAAAAACAATTTTAAACAGCCTTTCCTCCTCGGAGTGAAATTAAGGATGATTAGAGAGGCAAAATGTAGTGACCGAGACCGCCACTAGATGACCAATCACAGCGCTGCTGCTTTCGCAGAGATCAGCTTTGTGACCCATTGTAAACAGGAAGATTTATCTTTTTTAAAAAAAGAGGAAATAATGAAGCAAGCACGATGTGAGAGATTTAAAGAAGAAAAAGTGAAAAAATGATTGGGAACGATGGGTCCGATGATGAGCAGGAAGCGAGAGATAAATATAGAATACTCGGGTGTGGTAGTTTGCTTTAAGGAGTGGTATGAGAGAGAGGGGGGGGGCAAGGGAACCAACTTTTACCATTCCCAGAAAAGGTTGAGCTTTCCGATGGCAGAAGGAGTGCTTTGAGGCGGACAAGCAAGAGGAGGGGGAAATAATGAAAGATTGAAGGAGAAGGTTGTTCGGAAGCCCCGGGGGGGGGGGTGATGAGATGAGAAAAACGAGGGGAGGATCCGATGAGAGGAAGCGTGGGGACGTGTCCAATCAATGAAGAGGGCAGCAACTGCTGCAGGAGTGGGGTTTAGTGAAATTTGAGGGGAGAGAAGGAGAAGAGGTCAGAAGTGTCATGCTTTTGGGATCACGGCAATAATTGAAGTGACGCTGGCTTTAATGATATGCTGTGGGGAGGGAGAAAGAGAGAGAGGGGGAGATGGGAGAGTGCATCATTGGGGGGGTTCTGGCCAGCCATTGCTGTCGTCTTTAATTATTGTGAATTAGGCCCACGCCCCCACCTATTCATTCCCCTATTAAGTGCCCCTCTATCTTCCCCCGGCTTCGCTGTTTTTCTTTCACGCAACCCTTTACATGGAGATCACCGTATCTAGTGACAGTGTTTTATAAAATACTTTTCCTTAATTATTTTAAGTTTGCATTTATCAATCAAATTTTATAAATTTATTTTTAAAAATAAAATATAAACTTTTAAAAATCTACTTCATTTGATATAACTATTTCAATTTCATTGATATTAAAAGATTCAAAGTATATATAGTAAATGGAATTTTGTTTTTAAAAATTATTTTATATTTTAAAATAATAAATTCTTTTAATATTAATTGTCTTATAATTTGAAGTGAAAGAAGTAAAACATTATACATGATTAAAAAATATTTTCAAATATTTTCAAAAAATGATGCATTTCATAAGTACGTATCATACAATTTCTTTCTCTTCTATATAATATAAATAATCTAATTATGTGTGTGTTTATTTTTCACTTCACATTTGACAAAAGTCTACTTAAGGATCCAATTATGTATTGAATTTGATGAAAACACATCCCAAATGTAATTTGAATGCATTTTTAAGGGTCACCTAAACAGACTCTTGTAACTTTTAATTTCAGCAAAGTGGTTAGAATTAACTTGTACTCCTTAGGTCAAATTTATATGATAAAGAAAATATTTATTTTGATTTTATTTGCTCCCTCTAGACCACAATATAAGTTATAGTTAACTAATTCACACAGTTTACAAACAATGTTTGTTGAAACTTTAAATGGTTAAAAATTCTCAACATCTTTTTATTTATACCGTCATTAAATAGCCTATAAAAGAACATTAATAATAGTAATTTAAATTTAAGTGCATGATTTTTTTAGAAAGAATTATACATAAAGTAGGACAGAGTTCAAAAAATAAATATAAAAACTATCCAATATTCTATACTTTCGATCAAGCAAAAATGTCAGGGTATTCTTACATATTTCACGAGCGGCAAAATGCTAAATGCACAGCCTTCACCAGATCTTTCTTTTAACGTCTTCGTTGGTCAAAGAGAAAAAAATTAACATTTTCACTTTTCACACTGCACGCCAACGCTTGATAATAATGCCTTGTAATATGAACATAAACTAAATACCGCAATAGCAGTGTGTGTGTACGTATACACGCTGCTCGTGTTCCAAACAAGAGACAAGTTAATATTGATTAGTCAAGAGTAGTCTTGATGACTTCGTCAACTTGTGCAAGTTGACTTCATCGGTAAAAAAAAAAAAAAAAAAACTTATGCAAGTTGAAGGTGGCATTTCGATTTGGGAGTCGATACGGCATTGTTGCGTTGGTGGTGTGTTTAGAAATTAATATCAATTGTAGATGGGAATACAAGCGAGTTAAGCCATGCTATGCTCTGGTCATGTGCTCCTTTCGGTTTAAAATATAAACATTTTTTTTACTAATTTTAATTTTAAATATAAACAATACATTACATGAATTCATGGTGAAAAACAAATATGAGGCACCTCAAAGATGTTGAGTTTTAATTGATAATAAAAGAGTTTCGAACTCTCTTATTATAGTTCACTTAGACGTAAAAGACACACAATACTTTGGTAGAATAAGTGTTTAATTTTTATTGAAATGGGAGAAGTTATAAGTCTAAATTAAAAGTAAAATTATCTAAAAAAATTAAAAGCTAAAAGGTGTAAAAGTGTGAGTCTTTGATTGAGTACTGATTGCTCTCTTTTGTGTTTTCGTCTTCTATTTATAATGTCAAAGTGGTGATAACCTCTCCCTTAAAACTAGCATATTTTGCTGAGAAATTAGGGATCTCGTAAAACTTATGGTACGATCTTTATTTCGTATTCTTTATTTTTGGTAATCAGCCTGTCTCACTGAGATATTTTGGCACGAAGTTTATAGATTTCGACATTATTTGAGATCGTGTCTTTTCATGCCAACGGTCCAATATTTGCAGCTGATAGAATTTCTGTATGTTTATTTTATCCTGGCCTCTTATTGAGTTTTGAGGCCAATCCCTTTGTTTTATTGGGCTTGACTTTTTAATTATTCAGTTCAATTAACTCTGTTACCTAGTCGAGTAATATTTCATATTTTAATTCAAATGACATGTAAAAAAAAATTCATCTTACCTTTTCAACCTAGGTCCTTGTACAAATTTACATGAATTGCGGTGATAACTGAGATTAGAGTAAACAAAATAATATATATTTTTATAAAAATAAAAATTTGAGTGATACATAAATTTCACCGAAAAAATGTTAATGTTTTGGATAAGAGGAAGCATGTCAAAGTATGTAAAGTAACAAAGGAAGCCTTGAGCTTGAGCCTTGATTTGTGGTCTGGATGGCGCCTTAGACTTAGGTTGAAGCAAGCTATAAAGGCCTTGCCAGCCTAGAAACTATTTAAATGTTTAGTTTTTACTTTTTAGACTAGGACTCAGTCCCGCAGACTCAAGTGTGTAAATCGAACTTTTTAAGTTTATGCATGGGAGAGAATTCTCTGGTCTTTCCCTTTCCATGCTCTCCTGTTATTGTTTTCTTTCTAATTATTAAATTAAAATGTAGATGGTTGAGACTTGATTTCCTCTAAAATTACTAATAAAATATAAAATAATATAAAAGACAAATGAGAAAATTTAAACTGATGAAATTTAGTACGAATAGTTAAAAAGTACAGCAAGAACAAATTAATAGGAAAATGATAAAATGAAATAATCAAGGATTGGTCACGATGTGAATATGATTTATTTTCCCCGTGAAAAAAATGAAAGCCAGTTGACTAGCAAAACTACGTACGCACATGCGAGGGGGACCATGGAACATGCAAGTATATACGACTCTTGGAACAATGAATGATATATAACTTAATGCGGAACGACTTGGAATATTGCTGAGTTTGAATAAGAAATAAACATTGGAAAGAGACAGAAAGCAACCGAAAATGAGTAGCTAGTCACGCTTGTTTGCTTGGGTTGGAGGCATAACTAACTTTGATGAGATATGGAGATTTTACACACAAATTGTATGGACTCCTTGAGACTATTTTTTATGTTATCAGGCTTAGACTACGCGATTCACGTGGGAACGCTTTGAATCTGCAAATGGAGTAGTAAGT